GGACTCAGACTTGGAGTCGAGGGCCAAGATCTCCCTCTAAGGATGCCGGGTCGGGGGTGCCCTGTCCCTGCTCCGCAGTGCCTTTTTGGAGCCACGTGGGAAGGGGGGAGCGATTTTCCCCAGAGAACTTGTCTGCTTCCCCTCCCCCTCTAGACGGCCCCTGCACCCACGTGGATTTGGCTCAGGGTTAGGGGGGCCCGCGGGTCCACGTGCGGGCGAGGAGGGGGTGTCCACGTGGCTCCCGCCTCACGCTGCGGGGCGTCTTGTATCGGCGCTGGAGCCGCACTGCCGGGAACTGGGTGTGTCTCAGCGGGTCCCGCCATCTCCGACGGGGCTGGGGGCCCCTGGCCGGGAAGGAAGGTAGGGGCTGCTAGAGTCAACTTTGCTCAGAGCCTTGGAGTTTCTTTCCTCCTCCTTTGGTCCGCGGAGCCTCTAGACAGTGGATGGTGAAGGAGTTTTCCAGATGTGCGAGAAGTCTGTTCCCTGCGGATGGCGGAGTGTGCTAGGGAGGGTAGAGGGCTGAGGTTGAAAGGCTGTGGAGCAAGCTTTTGGCGGCTTCTGCCAGACTGGCTTGGAGTGGGTTGTGAGTCACGGGCACTCGTGTTTTGGTTGCCTACAGTCCTGCCTTATTCTTGATTCAAGGGGAATGGAGAGTCTCAACATGTACCTGGGACAAGCTTAAGAAAGGGAAAGAGAATCTTCACCTCTCACTGTTTTTTCCAGTATCTCTTTTGAGGAGGCAGCTAAGGTCTGCTCCTGTGAACTGACAAATTAGGTGATCTGTATTTAACCTCTAGAATTTTTGCTGGGGATGGGAAAAACTGGAGGTGATTTGAGAGCAACACTAGATGAACATTAACATTTATTGAGTGGAGGAATTCTTTTTGTCAGATTCTTTTTTCTTGGCCTCTAGCTCTCCATACTTCAAAAGTGTTATCTTCTTACTCCTTAGCACAGGGCTTCTTATAAGTTCCCACCCAGAGTGGAGGTTGGCAGGACTTACTTTGGACTGTTATCTCTCTTAAGCAATTAAGCTGAGTCCTTGAAAGCTTTTTAGTTGTTCTGCAGGTGGGAGTTGTGCTGCAGGCTGCCAGGTAGGGTCAGTTCCAGCAGACCAATACAGGCCCTTGCCCAGGGGAGAATGGCTTCTGGGTTCCTAACTTAGGAGCCTCCACCCCTTCTTCCCTCATTTTCTCAGAGGTCACATCTTGTGGGAGTGGTGCTACCCACCCTTTGGGGGAGAGACAGGAAGGATTCATGATCTAGCTGTAAGCTAAGTTGGGTGGTCATTTGGGGTTGGAGAGGGTCTCATGGAGAGATTGTCCTTTTCACCCCCCACCCTCACAAGAAGGGCATATGGAAGTTAGCCAACTAGCTACTTATTGAGATAACACTGTGTTCAGACACACAGAATACCAAGGTAAGCCACTCGCGGTCCCTGTCCTGTAGGATCTTAGGGTGTTTTTTTTAATTAGGCTAGACAGACAATAAAGAAAGTGCATTTTAAAAAAATAATTTACTTTTTATTTTGTTTTTTTAAGGAAAGTGCAGTTTTGAGATTATATAATCAGCAGTAACCTACTTTGCAGGGTCTGGGAAAGAACATTTTAAGCTGAGACTCTAAGGCTGTGTGTATAAGTGGGGGACACTTTCATCAGAGGCAATAGTATGTGAAGGCCTTGAGGTGGGAGAGAATATGACTTACTGGAGAAACTGAGAGGCCTATGTGGCTGGTGTGGAGAGAGAGAGGCAGGCTGGTGAGAGAGGACACACTGGAGTAGAAGAGTCTTGTGGGGGAAGACCAGGACCCCTGTAAGCCATGTTAAGGAGTTTAAACCTAATGCCAAGAACAGTAAGGTACCATTAGAAGGATTTAGGGAGGGTATCTGGAAGTGATTAGATTTATTTTTAAAAGTTTAGCTGGTTTTGAGCAGTAAGAGGCCATTGGAGAGATTTAAGGAGGGTCTCTGGAAGTGGTCAGACTTATTTTTAAACGTTTGTAGCTAGTTTTGAACCATGCAGGGACAAGACTGGATGTCGGCTCACTTTTAGCCTAGCCTTAGCCCCTAGATGACATTGGTACTCTGGGAGCTCTCCTATTTGGGGATTGAGGGAGGGATGAGGTAAGGTGAAGAAGGGGGTGTCTCTGACTGGGGCTCCAGTACTTGTCTGTTGGAGGTGGTGATGAGTGGTTCGTAGAGCTTGTCATTGTCTTAAGATTCTGACCCAGTGGCTAGGCCAGGTAGGTTGCAGGACAAGTTGTGATGCAGCCTCCTTGCTCACCCAGGAGTGTTTGCTGAGCCAGATGCTATTCAGCTGCTGGTTGTAATTACAGGGTTGTGAAGGCCTGGGAGGAGTTAGTGCCTAAAACCTGCCACCTTTCACTTCATCTCTGGTTCTGGCCTCCTAAAGTGTTTCTTTCTAGCCTTTCCTCTCCCAGGGTATCCTCAACTTGGGAGAGGGTGGATATGGGGTATAGTTATACCTGTTGCTTTTTTCTCTCTCTTGGAAGAGGTGCAGAGTTTCCCTTTGCTGCAGAAGGGGAGGGGGGACTGTCCATGTTTGTTCCTATTCTCCAGCCTTTGCATCATGTTTCCTATAGTGGAGATACCCATGGCTCTGGCCTCTGGCCTTGCCAGTCCCATTCCAGCCACTTCTCTGCCCTGCCCACACCCACATGTTTGACAGGCCTGGATGGGTGGCTCCCTGCCTAACAGGGCTGAAGACATTGCTAGTTCTCAGGGAAGTGATGGGGTGGGGCTTTTCCATCTACAGAGTCAAGCTTTCTCATCTTTTGCTCTCACCTGGTAGGGGTAGAGAAGAGACTTTTTTCCCTTGGGACTACCATTGAGAGGTTGAGTGGCCTATCACAGCATCCATACATACTTGCTATTCACACTTACTTCACACTGTAGGGCCTTCAAAATAAAAATGTGAAATGTCAATGGCAAGTGTGTGTAAGACACTGTGATAGGCTCCTTGGATGACCAGGAAGTATATGTACAGTTTAAGCCCTTGTAAGAGCCAAGAAGAATATAAAAGCCAATAGGATATGAAGGGTTATTTGCCCAAAGGAACTTGGAATCTAGTTTTAGTATTGATGCAAGGAATGTCATGGGCTGGGGAGGGGGTTCAGTGTGATTGCCAGAAAGATGTGAATTCAGTGGGGAGATCAACTTGAAGAAGATGAGATTTGAGCTAAGCAAGGAAGATAGGTCTAAGTGGGATTGAGGGAGGCAAGGTAGTGGTAACTGAAATTGCCTGCTTGCTGATCTCTCCTTTGGTGTCCCTTCAGACTGTCTGCCTTCACACTGCCAGCAGACATCTCTTCTGAACAATCTTTTGACTCCCCAGTTTAATAATCTCTTGTGGCTCCAACTCTTTCTGGATAGAGTCCAAACTTTTTTTTGCCTAGAAGGTCCTTGAACACTGCCATCTTGGTTGGGGTTTTTGGCTCATGAGTCGTACTTCTCTGCCAGCAAGTCTGGAGGTTTGGTTTGGTGGAGCTCCCTCTGAGTCTGGGGCCATTGGTGGAGGGGTGGGCACTTGGATTACAGAGCATATCAATCAGCTGTCCTAGAGGGTCCATGTCATGCAGCTTTCACCATGCCCTTATGACCTTCCCCCCCTTTCGCCCCAGGTGCTGATGCATGAAGAGGTGAATGATTCTGACTTAGTCAGTCTGTCTCGGCTGGGCCCCTGTCTGAAGGATAAGGATCTGGAGATGGAGGAACTGATGCTGCAGGATGAGACACTGCTGGGGACCATGCAGAGCTATATGGATGCCTCCCTCATCTCCCTCATTGAGGATTTTGGGAGCCTCGGAGAGGTGAGCTAGAGCTGGGCTTAGAGTTCTTCAGACAGGAGCTTTGCATGGGAGATTATGGCTCACTGCCTCTGTTCTCCCAGAACCTTGGCTCCTGTATACCCAGCCTGAGTTCTTGAAGTGTGTATTTTTTTGTTTCTAGGTGAGAGCTGGGTTGCAGGCTGCCAGATTATGTCCCATTTAAGGATGACTTGGCAGGCTTAGACTATAGTCCAAGGCCTTTTCTCCTTCCTGGGCCCCTTACTTACATGTCTAGAGGATTCTGATTCCTGTTTTGAGCTCAATTCCAGCCTGGCCAAGGGTTGTGTGCTGAGCATTCCACTTCTTAACTTGAGGGTGAAGGGCATGTTTGAAACATAAATTTAAGACTCAATTTTGGCAGATCTCTGTTGACACTAGAGAGGTGATGGATAGTAGTAAATAAAATTGCAACTATGACTTCTGCTACTCAGCTTTGTCCCTGAGTAATTGAGCTGAACTGAGAGCCTGGGAGACTGATTCTCTTGGCATCCTGTTCTTAGTGGCTCAGTAGGTCATTTGGGATGATGGTGTGGGACCTTCCTGTTGTCTTTCTGGAGCAGAGCAGGTTATCTCTGGAGGATCAGAATGAAGTGTCACTGCTCACAGCTCTGACAGAGATCTTGGACAATGCAGATTCCGAGAACCTGTCTCCATTTGACAGCATTCCTGACTCCGAGCTGCTTGTGTCACCTCGGGAAGGCTCCTCTGTGAGTGTGGGACCAGGGAAAGGGGTTGTATGGTTGGTGCAAAGGTTAGAACCACGTCTGAGGGCCTACTCATATAATTCTGAAGCACAGTCTCAACTCAGGTCCTTTTCTTCCTCTTAGTTGCACAAGCTGCTCACCCTCTCTCGGACACCCTCAGAACGTGACCTCATCACCTCAGTTGATCCGCTGGGGCCCAGTACAGGCAGTAGTAGAGTGAGTGGGGTAAGCCTGACTTAAGAAGCTTCAGGGAATCCCAGTGGGGAGGAATGTGTGAAGACAGGTCTGGAAAAATATATTCCTGTAGAAAACTCCTTTTGTGGCTTCTCGTCTCTCCTGTAGATTGAGATGTCTCTCGCAGATTCCCCTTGGGACTTCTCCCCGCCTTCCTTCTTGGAGAACTCCTCTCCCAAACTTCCTAGCTGGAGACCCCCACGATCCAGACCCCGTAGGAGCCAGTCCCCTTCTCCGCAGCAGCGTAGTGATGGGGAAGAAGAAGAGGAGGTGGCCAGCTTCAGCGGCCAGCTGCTTGCTGGGGAGCATGACAGCTCTATGAGCAGCAGCCCAGACTTTCCCATGCACCTGGCCTGCCCTGAGGAAGAAGATAAAACAGCAGCAGCAGAAATGGCAGTGCAGGCAGCTGGCGATGAGAGCATCTCTTCCCTCAGTGAGCTGGTGCGGGCCATGCACCCATATTGCCTGCCCAGCTTCACCCACCTGACATCACTTGACAGTGAACTTCAGGAGCAGCCAGATGATGTGACACTGCCTGAGGATTGTGTGGTGCTAGAGATTGTGGGCCAGGCAGCCACAGCTGGCAATGACCTGCAGATCCCAGTTGTGGTGCGGCAGATCCCTGTTGGACCCCAGCCTGTGCTCCTGGATGACTCGCTAGAGGCCAGTCCATCCTTGCAGCTGCTTATGCCTACACTTGAGTCAGAGACGGATGCTGCTGTGCCCAAGGAAGCCCTCTGCCCTGAGAAAGAAGGGTTGTCACTAGACTCAGAGGAAAAGCTGGACTCAGCCTTGTTGGAGCCCAGGGAGGTCATGGAACCAATGGCGTCCAAGGGGCCCCAGAACCCACCAGCCAATGCAGTGCCGAGTTCCCAGAGAGCGCGAAAGGGCAGGAGGAAGAAGAACAGGGAACAGCCAGCAACCTGTACAGAAGGCTATGCCAGGAGGCTGAGGTCATCCTCTTGTGGGCAGCCTACTGTGGCTACAGAGGTGATCTCTCAGGCAGGCAGTTTGCCTCAGAAGGAACTCCTAAGAGAGGTTGGGCCTCCCCATGGTAGAGGGAAGCCCCGGGCTTGGGCTCGGGCCTGGGCAGGTGCCTCAGAGAAGCCTAGCTCTGGGAACTTGGAGAGTAGTGTTGGACAAGCTAGTCCTGCTAAAGAAGGTCCTCTTGATCTCTACCCCAAACTGGGTGATACCATCAAAGTTAACCCTGTTCCAACCCATCTGTCATTGGTTGACTCTACTCATGCCGACCCCATGCCACTTGATTCTGTTGAAGCTGATCCCTCTGCAGTCGATCCTGTTCTAGCTGATCCTGTACCTGTTGACCCTGCATTAGTTGACCATGCTTCAGCCAACTCAGAGCTGGTTGACCCTCTCCCAGCTGACCCAGTGTTGATTGAGCCAGTCCTGGCCGACTCGGCAGCAATTGACCCTGCAGTGGTTGTTCCTATCTCAGATGACTTGCCACCAGTTGACCCTGTCTCAGCCAACCTACCACCAGTTGACTCTGTTCCTGATGACCTGGCTCCAGTTAACCCTGTGCTAGTTAAGTTTAGGCCAACTGATCCCAGACGTGGTGCAGCGTCATCAGCCCAGGGGAGTCCAGCCCTCCAGCTCCTTCTGGAGTCAGAGTCCTTGGACCCCTCAAAGACCATCATCCCTGAAGTCAAGGAGGTCGTGGGTCCTCTGAAGGTAGAAGGTGGTACCAGTGCCACAACCCAGGAAACCAGACCTCGGCCTCTTAGCCTATCTGAGTACCGGCGACGAAGGCAGCAGCGCCAATCAGAGGCAGAAGAAAGAAGTTCCCAGCCCCCATCTGGGAAGTGGCCCAGCCTCCCTGAGACTCCCACAGGGCTGGCAGACATCCCTTGTCTTGTCATCCCACCAGCCCCAGCCAAGAAAACAGCTGTGCAGAGAAGCCCTGAGGCCTATTTTGTGCCTGTGGGTCCCAGCCCTGCTTCTCCTAGTCCTGAGCCACCTGCAAGCAAATCCGTGGCCTCAGCTCCCACTGAGCAGGTGCCATCCCAAGAGATGCCACTGCCAGCAAGACTACCTCCTGCTGTGCAGTCCATGCCCTCCACCATGCCCACTGCTCTGCCTTTTCCACCAGGTGGGCTGGGCATGACCCCTATGCTTCCCCCACCACCCTTGCAGCCTCCTAGTCTTCCAGTGTCTGTGGGGCCAGTGCCACCTGATCCCTATACTCACTATGCCCCCATGCCACCCTGGCCTTGTTATCCCCCAGTGTCTCCTTCTGGCTATCCTTGTTTGCCACCCCCTCCAACGGTGCCACTAGTCTCTGGTACCCCTGGCTCTTATGCTGTTCCCCCTACTTGCAATGTGCCTTGGGTACCCCCTCCTGCCCCAGTCCCACCTTACAGCTCTAGTTGTACTTATGGGCCCTTGGGATGGGGTGCAGGGCTGCAGCATCCTCCATTCTGGCCTACTGTGCCCCCACCACCTTTGCCTCTAGCCTCTGTTGGGAGAGCTGTTGCCCCACCCAAGGTGGAGCCCAGTGGCATCCCAGCTGGCCCTCCTGAAAGTGTACTTCCTGTGCCGATGGCCTCTTCCCTCAGTCTTGGGTCAGCTGGCCAGGGAGCTCCACAAATAGAGCCCACTAAGGTAGAGGTCAAGCCAGTCTCTGCATCTCCCCATCTGAAACACAAGGTGCCCTCCCCGGTGCAAAGCCCGCAGAATAAGGCTTCACCATATCTGTCTGCTGAGAGTGTGGCTGTTGAGGAACCTGCATCAGAGAGGTTAAAGCTTGAGTCTCAGGAGACCAGGTCCAGGGAGAAGACCCCCTCTCCAGTTGCCAAGGCTGTTCCCACACCCACACCAAGGCAGAGCACTGTCACCAAGTTGCCTGCTATCCACCCAGCCCGTCTAAGGAAACTGTCCTTCCTGCCTACCCCACATACCCAGGGTTCTGAGGATGTGGTGCAGGCTTTCATCAGTGAGATTGGTGAGTACCACACAGTTCAGTTGTGAAGAAGGGAATGGGGGTTGGATGGGGAATGTCCCCCTGGATGGGGGGCTAGCCTTTGATTTCTTTGGAGGGTTCCTGAGAGGTGAAGCCTTAGGTTTGTTTAATTCTTTACTGCTTTGTGTTGCTGTTTTGGTTTACATAGTACAGTCAGCAGGGGGCGCATAAAGGGAGAAGTGAGGTAATTTGGGACTTCCTGGGACCTCTGTACTCAGCTGTTTTCCAATCCTGTGTTGTGTGTTTCCACAGGAATTGAGGCATCAGACCTGTCCAGTCTGCTGGAGCAGTTTGAGAAATCAGAAGGTGAGGGAACCTGGGTAGCTTTGCTCCAACCCCTTTTTGTTGATATTTCCTTTGGGTCCAGTTTATAGTTACTTAAACTGGGGGAGGGGCAGTCTCAGCTACTAGAGTAGCCCCCTAATTGGAATGGGAGACAAGATCCACCTGTGATGCAGTCTAAGCCAGGGAGAGTACAGCATGGCAAGTACTACAAAGAGTAGACCAGTGGGGAGATCCATGTGGGTTGGGTTGTTTGGGGACATTTTTCTGGAGGGAAGTAGCTCAAGCTTGGCCTTGAGAGGTAGGATTTCATAGAATGTGTGGTGAATAAAGGCAGAGGTATAGGAATGATTGAGAGTGGTGTGTTTAGAAAGCAATGCATAATAGCTTTTCAGTGCAAGGCATGGTTCTCAGTGCTGTTGATAATACTAGATCTTGTTTTCAAGGAGTTTGTGGTCTTATTGGGGAGAAAAATATGCAGAAATGACTCCTGAATTGGTAATGGGTATCTATAGTTCAAGGTAACATAAGATGTAAGTGTAGAACAAGAGTAAACTATAAAACTAGGAAGTTAAGCAGGTCATGTAGAAGCTTGAATGTTAGGCTCAGAAGTTTGGACTGTCAGATTCAAGGGAGAATGTGGGTATTTCTGAGCAGAGAAGAGACATGATTAACAATAGTACCTGGGCACCCACTGGAGGAGGATGGATCTTACTGGGGAGAGCCCAGTGGAATATGTAGGCAAAGTGGATTTTCCACCTTTGGGTCTTAAAGCCAGCCCTTCTATACCTCCTCAATTTGGAACATCTGGTTGGGCTTTTAACTAGTATGGTTTCTTTGCAGCCAAAAAAGAGTACCCTCCCCCGGCTCCTGCTGACAACTTGGCTGTAGGAAACTCAGGGTAAGTATAGAGACATGTGAGCGAGTTACCCTACAGCTGTTGGTCAGCAGCCAGCCGGCGCTCCAGGACCATCCATTGGATGCCTCTTTTACAGAAACATTTAGTCAGCTCTAGAGTCTTTCCCTGTTTCCACATCCCCGTGCTCAGCCTTCACTACTGGGCACTGTCTTGGGTGGCGAGGTAGGAGGATGTGAACCAGACTTTGGCTGATTCCACTCTGGGGTTCCAAATGTCCTGGAGGTGCCTTTTGTCTTCTGGCAAGTTGCACCTTTGGGTTTTTTTCTTTCATTTAACAAGTTTTAAACTTGCTCAACACTGGTGATAGTTTAAGATAAATGGGGGAAGATGTCCATGGCTAGGGCTTTCCTGACTCCTTAGGGGACACAGGCACCCTAGACCTCCTTGTTCCCCAGTCTTTTAGTACTGAGAGGCCTTTTTTCATTTTTCTTGTTGATAGTACCCCATGCTGTTCTGCCAAGCATATTCCTCTTCATACTGATTTTGGGTTGGTTTGAACTGGGCAGGTGAGGCTCCTGGCTTGAAGGAGGTGGGGGGTGTTCAAGATTATAGTCGGCTTGCCTCTTGGTAGTGGGCAAAGCTGAGCTGAAATTCAGCCTACAGTTCAGTGACCAAGACCCCTTTTGTGCTGGAGGCGGAGGATAGGGGCAGGTTGCGGATCCCATTCCTCTCTGCACTCCCCCTCCCCCATTGCTTTGTGAGGAAGGCAGATGTACAAGATGTTGAGGCAATGAACCAGGCTTTCCCTTTTCCCCCTGCCAGCAGCGTTGACCCTCCCCAGGAGAAGAGGCCCCTAGACCGGTTACAAGCCCCAGAACTGGCCAACGTGGCAGGTGGGTTCAGGGTGGGGAACTCTGCCTTTGTTTATGCAGCAAATGTTTGTAGAGCCCCTTCTGCAGAGATCTGATCCTCGTCCTTGAGGTTCTCACAGTCCAGGGGCAGGTGTGTGAAATGAATTTGTTGAGTATCAGAGGTTGTGTGTTAAATAAGCCTGTTTGAGTTATAGTGGGTTCTGAAGGGAGATAGGGAAGGGTTGTATAGAAGGTAATCCCCAAAGCAGAGAAAATCACTGATACTCATCAGGTAGGTTTAAGGGATGGAGCATTCTAGGTAGATGAGCATCTTGAGTGAACTGAAGAAATAAAGTCAGCCTGGTATGTTTTGGGGAATTGCTGGTGGTTCAGTTTGGCTGTAGTGTAGTGGCTGATCTGGGTGGTGAGCAGAGCTAAAGCAAGAGATAAAAGCTGGAGTGGTAAATAGGAGGTCAGATTATGGGAACTTTAAATTTAATGGTAAGCTATTTGGACTTTATCCTGTACATTGAAAAGCAAATTGGTGTTTGGGTACTCCCTTCAGCAGGAATGTAGAAGACAGGTGGAGAGGTGTGAAGCTCAAGGTAGGGAATCATCAGAAGATGGGATCATCAGAGAAGATGATTACAAGTCCAGGCAAGATGTAGCCAGAAGTCAGTCAGTGCTGGAGTAGGGTAGAAGGGCCTAGGAATGGAGAAGTAGACCAGGCAGGACCTGGTCTTTAGTTAGGTTTGGCCAGTGAACTGTTGAGGGATTCAGGAAGACCCTGGCTGGCAGGGTTTCTGTTGCTGGTCCCCAAGATGGGGAACATGGGGGAAGGAGTAGTTGCAACAGTGGGAAAAGTTGGGCTGTGGACCATTGTTGGTGTACTTTGTGTGAGATGAGGTGGGGGTCTCTGGAGCCTATATACAGTGTTTGGAAGTGTAGAATCAGATCTCATCCTGCTATCTCCATCCTCCCTCCCCTCACAGGGCTCACCCCTCCAGCTACCCCTCCCCACCAGTTATGGAAGCCCTTGGCTGCTGTTTCCCTGCTGGCCAAAGTCAAATCTCCTAAGTCCACCGCCCAGGAGGGAACCCTGAAGCCTGAAGGAGTTACAGAGGCCAAACATCCAGCTGCAGCCCGCCTCCAAGAAGGGGTCCATGGCCCTAATCCAGTCCATGTGGGCTCTGGGGACCATGACTATTGTGTCCGGAGCAGGACACCCCCCAAAAAGACTCCTGCCTTAGTCTTTCCAGAGGCAGGCTCCCGATGGAATGTCAAACGCCATCAGGATATCACCATCAAACCTGTCTTGTCCCTCGGCCCAGCTACCCCCCTACCCCCAGGCACAGCTGCCTCCCAGGAGCCACTTGATCACAGGACTAGCAAAGAGCAGGCAGATCCCCCAACCTCTTGCCTTGCCCCATCTGCCTTGCTGTCCCCTGAGGCCTCGCCCTGCCGGAATGACATGAACACTAGGACTCCCTCTGAGTTCGCAGCCAAGCGGTCAATGCGCTGTTATCGAAAAGCCTGCAGGTCAGCCAGCCCCCCAAACCGGGGTTGGCAGGGCCGCCGTGGCCGCAGCAGTTCTGTCAGCTCTGGGTCCCACCGGACCAGTGAAGCATCTTCCTCTTCATCCTCATCGTCGTCTTCATCCCGATCCCGGTCCAGGTCCCTCTCCCCCCCACACAAGAGGTGGCGAAGGTGAGCTCTGATGGTGTATGAGGTCCTCTCCACTTAGGAAGTTCATGTACTTTCCCTCTGGTTTATTTTGAAAGCTTTTTTGCACACTGTGTTTGATACTTTCAGGCACTAAGGCTTCTATTTCTGTCTTTGGCTTTTGTCTTCTCCACCTTCCCTGGATTGTTGAGGGAGGCAAGCTGTGAGAAAATCGTTTCTGTCCTCTGTTGGAGTTTAGGAAGTCCCTGAGGTCTCTGCTTCCTTGAGACCTGCCTTGGGGAGACTGTTAGGGTTTGGCCTTGACCCTGCTGATTCCTTCAAATACTGTATCAGTCCTCGTTTCTGGTATTTTCCTGGTGGTATGTGGGAAGGTGGGATTGTGGGTTGTTAATGGTAGACAGTCCTTTTAATCTGTTGAAGAAAGAGTCTGGCAGTTCCTTTGGGTGTCCCTGTGGCCTCATCTATTTCCTTGCAGTACTTTTTTTCCCCCCAGTAACAGACCCAAATTTTTCCATTTAAATAAGGAGGCCTTTTTGATTCTTTGTTTATTTTTCTTCTTTCTGATTTATTAAATATTTTTCAATCTTTAACTGCATAGTTGAAAAGAAATATGACCTCTGCTAAAACACTAAAACATTCCAGATACATCTAAAGTTTATCAGGGCTTCAGTTTGGTCATCTGTGAAGAGTTTTTCTAGACCTCTTCAGCTTTCCTTTGCCTTTATCCTGAGCTTCCTGACAGTGAGGCAGGGCTGCGACCAAGGTGAAGTGGAATATACCTGCACCATTCCCAGCTTTCCTACGTGCCCCTTTATTTTCTAGGTCCAGTTGCAGTTCCTCTGGACGTTCCCGAAGATGCTCTTCCTCATCTTCCTCCTCATCTTCCTCCTCATCTTCCTCATCATCTAGTTCCAGAAGCCGGTCTCGCTCCCCATCCCCCCGCCGGAGAAGTGACAGGAGGCGGCGGTGAGCATGTGTTCCGGGAGTCAGTACATCTGGGGTACAAGTGTCTGAGAGTTCTGAGACTTGAACTGTCTAATGTCTGGGGAGCTTATGGCACCTTTTTTTTTGTCAGATACAGCTCTTATCGATCACATGACCATTACCAAAGGCAGAGAGTATTGCAGAAGGAGCGTGCAATAGTGAGTAGAGGAACAGGTCATGGGAGAAGGAAATTTGCCCCTGAGCTGTCTACAGCTCTTGCCCTGGCTCATGGTATGTGAATTTTCCTTGACCCAACATAGGAAGAGAGAAGAGTGGTTTTCATTGGGAAGATACCTGGCCGCATGACTCGGTCAGAACTGAAACAGAGATTCTCTGTTTTTGGAGAGATTGAGGAATGCACCATCCACTTCCGTGTCCAAGGGTAAGCTTAGGCCCTAAGGTCAAGATGTCCTTTCTGTCCCATTCATGTACCTTGATGTTTCTTTGTCTTTCCCCCTTGCTCTGGTGTGCTGGTCATTGTAGGACAACTTCATTTTTTTTCACTCAGAGGGTTGGCTATTTGGGGGATGAGAAGAATCACCCCAGTCCCTTTCTGTACCCTGGAAGGCTGTTTCTTCTCCATGGCATGTGCCCAAATAGCCTCTGCCTTGCCCTCTCCACCAGTGACAACTATGGCTTCGTCACTTACCGCTATGCTGAGGAGGCATTTGCAGCCATTGAGAGTGGCCACAAGCTGAGACAGGCAGATGAGCAGCCCTTTGATCTCTGCTTTGGAGGACGCAGGCAGTTCTGCAAGAGAAGCTATTCCGATCTTGGTGAGTGGAGGGAGGCCCTGAGGCTTTGGGGTACTTGATTTCCCCAAAAGGGTTCCCAGCCTTTTGAGAGTGGGCTTGACAGACTTGTCTTCAACTGACACATGAAGGAACATAAGGGGTGGGATGACTTAAAATCATTATTGGCATGGGAGGTGGCTGGCCATCTGAGGACTCTGTGGCTGGGAAGTGTGGTCAGAGACCTTGATGTTTGTCTCTCTCTACCATTATAGACTCCAACCGGGAAGACTTTGACCCTGCTCCTGTAAAGAGCAAATTTGATTCTCTTGACTTTGACACATTGTTGAAACAGGCCCAGAAGAACCTCAGGAGGTAACCCTGGGCCCTTCTCCCCCTACCCCTATTCATTGGAGGTGTCCAACCATCTCCACTCCCCTCCCCTACTCTAGGGGAGAGAGCTGCTAGTGAGGAGATGACTGTTTTATAAAGAAATGGAAAAAGTGAAATAAAAAATGTGTTAAATCAGATTTTTTTAAAGGGTATTTGTTTTTATAAGAGGCATTGAAACAAGTTAATTTGCATTCCTATGTGAGATGGATGAGGTTGAGGGGTTCCCCTGGTGTTTGGATGATCTAAATCACTATGCAGACTAATAAACATGAACTAGAGAGAACTCCCATGTGCTGTTGTGCTTCTTTCTTTCTACGGTATTAGTGCCAGACATACTCATTTTTCCTCTCAATAAAATCAGCAGCATGTTTACCTACATTGAGTTCCTAGGGCCCCTCTTTGGTCAGATGCACAATCCTATTGGACTTGAAACTTGGCTCCTCAAGTGTTTTGTCTGAAATCAGTCACTTAGGGCAGTGCTTCTCAAACTTTAAAAGGGCATTTGAGCCCTGGCCGGTGTGGTTCAGTTGGTTGGGCCTTGTCCCATGCACCAAAATGTTGCTGGTTCAATGCTGGTCAGGGCATGTGCCCTGGATTGCAGGCTTGATCCCCAGTAAAGGGGCGTGCAGGAGGCAAGCAGTCAAAGGATGTTCCGCACTTAGTTTCTCTTTCTTCCTCTCTCTCTCTAAAAAACGGGTGGGGGCATTTGAGACCTGGCTGGTGTTGCTTGGTGGTTAAAGCGTTGTCCCACTCACCGAAGGGTCGCTGGTTGGATTCCTGGTCAGGGCACATAACCACGTTGTGGGTTCCATCCAGGTCATGGCATGTGCATGAGGCAACCAATTAATGTTTCTCATATCAATGTTTCTCTCTCTCTCCCTGCCTCTAGAATCAGTGAAAATAAATAAATCAATAAAAGGGTATTTGAATCATTTGGAGATCTTTTTGGAAAGCTGGTTTTGACTTCTGGGATGGGGCCTAAGATGCTGCATCTCAAGCAAGTGGATGCTGATGCTCTGGTTTTGGATTGGAGTTTTAATGCCAAGGACCTAGGGGAAGCTCACACTTGTTCCAAATAAAGGGTTTTTGTTTTTTTAAAGAGGAAGTGTTTTAGTTGACACTAAGATTTTTTTTTTTTAATACATCTTTATTGACTTCAGAGAGAGCAAGGGAGAGGGATGGAGAGAGAGAAACACTGATGGGAGAGAGAAACATCGATCAGTTGCCTCCTGCACGCCCCCAACTGAGGATCAAGCCCGCAACCCTGGCATGTGCCCTGACGGGGAATTGAACTGTGATCTCCTGGATCCTAGGTCATGCTCAACTGTTGGGCCATGCCTGGCTGGGCCAAATAAAGGTTTTTTTAAACTGAGACTTAGATGTACATGTACCATTTTAGCTTGAGCACAGTGCTTGGCACACAGCAGTTGCTCAGATGTTTAAAGAATTCATGTATGTGGATAGGCTTCTGGGAAGAGGGAGATGTAGGAGTTATATCTGGGAGAGGGGAATGCCTGCTGAGAAAGGCAAAGTGCGTCCCCTGAAAAAATGCATCTTTACCCTTCTTGAGGGGCATTAATGGAAAGTAGTCAAGGGGTAGTGTGTAGGATTGAACAGATTCTTGTCTGCTGCTAATGTGAACTAAAATATGAGAGAGTTTGAAATTGACCTTGCAGGCATGGGTATTTGAGTATTCATGTCAAGGGCGAGGGCAATTGGGAAGTTTTCCAGTTCTCTCACAGAGTTCACAGTATGAACTGTCAGGACTATAGTTTGAAGAGATTGCTGCTCTGTCACTCAGGTTTGGTGCACAACCCTTTTTACCTTCATGGAGCTGACTTAAGACTGAATAAGTACCTTCCTCATCAACCCTAAAAGACTTTAGGGTTGGAAGTCTTTGAGGGGAGAATGTTACAGCATGGTCTAGGAAAATTCCAGGACAAGAGGAATAGGGAAACTAAGACATAGTTAAACAGCTTCTATGCTGTTCCTTGTTTCATTGTCCTAAGTATATTTTGGCTGTAGTCAATAAATTCTTGCTTGCTTTTCTACAAGAAAAAAAAAAAAAGACTGAATAAGTGAGCTGCACACCCAGCTCCCTTTTGCTATAAAGAGAAGGCTTTCCAAGCTTGGTCTCCCGCTTTGCATCCACTTCCATTGGTTCTTAACGGTTGCTCATCAGACCTCGGATGTCAAAATGAAGCAGATCACGAGCAAGTGTGCTTTTGAGGGAAGCCTTGAACAGTGCAGGAGATAAACTTACAGTAGTTCACTTCTCGGCCACATGCTGTGGGCCTTGCAAAGTGATCAAGCCTTTTATTCCGTCTCTGAAAAGTATTCCAATGTGGTATTCCTTGAAGTAGATGTGGATGACTCAGGATATTGCTGCAGAGTATGAAGTCAAGTGCATGCAACCTTCCAGTGTCTTAAAAAAGGAAAAAAGGGTGAATTTTCTCCAGCTAATAAGGAACACTTGAAGCTACCATCAATGAATTAGTTTAATCATGTTTTCTGAAACAACCAGCTATCAGCTCTTATAATTTTTTTTAAAAAATGAATCTTTATTGATTTCAGAGAGAGGAAAGAAGAGGGAGAGAGAGAGAAAGAAACATCAATGATGAGAGAGTCATTGATCGGCTGCCTCCTGCACGCCCCCAGCTGGGGATCGAGCCTGCAACCTGGGCATGTACCCTGACTGGGAATCGAACCCCAATCGCCTGGATCCTAGGTCGATGCTCAACTGCTGAGCCATGCCTGGCTGGGCCGTAATTTTTTTTATTTACATAAAAGAAAGATCAAGCATAGAGATTTTATATTCCACTGCTATATAAATGACAACAAAGTATTAATTCTTCCCTTTAAAAAAAAAAAAGGATAGGGTTTCATGGGCAAGACATAATGGGGGAAGGGGCGGTTTTGTAACCAGTAAGGGGACCTGGCCCTGAGCCAGCCTGCCTAGGGCTGGCTGGTAGTTTGTGGGTTCTTGACTTCATACAGGAAGGATTTCACAACACAAGTCCAGGTGATTTTTAGAGGACGTTTATTAAAGCTGAGGACAGTGAAACAAGGTAGGGCCTGGGATAGAAGCAGCAACAGTAGAGAGACTAGGCTGGGCTGCTTTGGCTTGATAAGTCAGAGAAAAGTGGGCCTTGGGATAGGTTCTGGGGGTTAGCCTGGGATGAGCTGCCGCTGCCCATTACTCCCTGGATGCAAGTCTTGTGGGAGTCCCTTAGAGGTAGGAGATGCATGCCTGTGGGGGAAGAAGAGAGGGAAGGGAAAGAGGAAGGCATGCTTCCTGGAGGGAGAGCACTCTGGGACCTTCATTTTGAGGGTTTTTAAAGGCTGAGAGTTTAAGGGAGGTGTTAGGGGATGATCGCAATAGAATATTCATCAGTTGTATGCTGCTGTGCCAAAATTAGATTTATTCTCTTAACTTGATCTGTCCTTAGGTGTGGTTTACACAAATGGCACTAATTGGATTTCTGTTCTCTCCCTGAGTAGGGTCATTTGAGCTATTTACCCTCTGATTGGGCAGAAGTACAAGCCATTTACTGTTAAGTGTCCTTGGTTTAGGAAAGATAGGCTTTTGCCATTTGCTAGATGGTTGTAAACTGCTTGGCAGATTATCTGTTGCAGTTCCCTATTCCACTTGTCCTGGCTTACAAGCCTGTCTCAGTTTGGGGGATCAAAGCCCTGCCTCTACCACGGATGATCCGAAGTATCCTCTGTAGTGAAGGTGAAAGTCCAACCGGCTGGGGTGGTGACTGAGAAAGGGTCGCTGTGGGTGTGGGAGGCAGTGAAGATGAAGGGTGGAAATCCACTGACAGGATAGGGGCGTTGGGAGATCTTGCGACTAAGTCTAGAGAGTCCAAGGACAGCTCGAGCCCGCCGGTCCACTCATTTCTCTGCAATGCGAATCCCACCTAGGGAGCAGGAAACGGTGGCTCGGAGTAAAGGTACTTCCAGAGAAAGGCAGGGCGCGGGAAGTCCGGAGCTTTCCCGCCATCTGAGGGCGTGACCCCTGACGTCAGGCTGCGCCTCCACAAGTGGCGGACCGCGGGCTCCGCCCTTACCAAGATGGCCACGCTCGTGGGAACGGAAAGAGCTTACCGATTTTGCCAAGACCCCTCCTAGGTGGAGGCGGGACATCCTGCGGAGCGCGTCCGTCCCTTCCGCTGTGCGCCCGCGCGGCGCGATGACGTCTCAGGGTGCGTCCCCATCTCTCCGGGTTCCAGAGTTCCTGAGTTGTGTGCGTCGGCAACGGTAGTGACGCGTATTGCCCAGAGGATGGCGGACGCCGGCTTACGCCGCGTGGTTCCCAGCGACCTGTATCCCCTCGTGCTCCGCTTTCTGCGCGATAACCAACTCTCGGAGGTGGCCAATAAGTTCGCCAAGGCAACAGGCGCTGTGAGTCCCGGGTTTGGGGCACGGGTGGGGATGCGATGACCACAGGGCTCCGGGCCCAGACATGCTTAGGTTTCCAGGTAGAGAGGTCCTTGCGGTCCGCCAGCCCAGTGTCTGCGGGGCCTTTGTGCCGAGCTCTCTGCCGTGACCGAGAAAGCCTGGTGTCCACGAGGTCTGACTAGGTAGTGCTGAATCTTGTTGCTTTTTTCCTGGTGAGCGGTGCAGTGGCGGCAGCGTGGGACCCGCGTGGCCCAGATCACGTGGGTGGCGGAGTGCGGTGAAGCGGGAGCACTCGAAGAGGGAGCACCCAGTCCCACCGGAGGCATTGGAGGCTCCTCGTTCCTTCGGCTTTACGTTGGCTGGTGCAAAGTGTGACTTGACCTTAACTCTCAATGGAATTTACTGGGGACTCAAAAATAAGTAAAATTGCTTTAGAGGAGTGGGATTTTCCGTAGTAAAGAAGAAAAAGGACAAGAGTAGAGGCAGGGTTCTGCTTTTAATTATGCTGAAGCATCATTGAGCATCAGAGCTCTACCATGCCACCATAGCAGTGAGCTTGGATCTTTGATTTGTGAAATCAAATAGGTTTGGGACCAGGCTCTGCGGTTCATTTAAAGATGTATGACCGAGGCATCTTGATTAAACTGAGTGTTTCTATTTCTATGGGGATATCATCATCCACTTTTTAGAATTTTTGTGAGTTTTAGTAATATATATATATATATATATATATATATATATATATACACAAAGTGGCAATCCCAGTGCCTGGTGCTCATCAAGGAGTGAAAGCTGTTATTATAGTTTTGGTAACAGGATGGTCGGTGAAAGGTTTGGAATATGCATCTCAAAAGAAGCAGACATGATTGCATGGTCAAACAGGAGAGAGGGTAGAAGGCTTTGGGAGCCTTGGCCTTGAACTAAGAAGATAGACTTGTTCTTAGTGACAGAATCAGGCTGCACAAGGAGAGAATCACATCAGCCTCAGAAAGGACTTCCTTAAGCTGGGTTAGCCTGCTATGTGATCAGATATGACTGTTTTTATATTGGAACTGTTAGAATTGACAGTTAGGGAGGCCACAAAGAATGTTTCCACAATGGGCTGGATGCAATTCGGCCTTTCAGAATTAGGATTTTTTTTTATGTGGCAAAAACTAATCTTTGTGGAGGGCTTATAAGGGCCAGATGCTTTTCCCAGGTGCTAAATACTTTATATGCCTTATCTCTTACCTTTTCAACTTAAGGTGTATAGTGTTATCTCCATCTTACAAAGAAGAAAACAGTCAGAAAAATTACATAATTTGCTCACAGTCACCCAGTAATAACTGGCAGAGGTAAACTTCACATCTATACCCCTCTAACTCTGAGCCTGTACTCTTGTGTGTACTGCAATGCCTTGACATTCTTATTGCACCAGTTAATAATATGTATCAGTGTAATTAGTAGCTGGATGCAATTTTGTGCTGTGTACATGATGTAGCTTTTTACCAATCTTCTCTTGGAGGCTGGTTTCTGGTGATTTGGTATTATGAACCACATTGCAGCGAACACTCTCTTGTATAAACAGGATAGATGATGTCAGAAACTATAGGAATAGCCCAAGTATTTTATACCACATATTGGGAAATACATAAGTAAAATGTTTTTCTTCTAATTTGTGCAAGTAGGAAAAGTCATATGAAGCTGTAACTTTTTTCTTTTTTTTTAATCCTCACCCGAGAACGTGCTTGGGGGGTAGGGAGAGAAACATCAATTGGCTGCCTTCCGTACACGCCCCGACCAGGGATCAAACCCGTAACTCGGACATGCACCCCCAACTAGATATCGAACTGGCAACCCTTTGGTGCACGGGTGCACAGGACAATGCTCAACCAGTTGAGCCACTTTGACTGGGTTGAAGCTGTAATATTAGTATGAACTATAGTAGGTGCAAAATAGGTCACTTTTAGAAAAAATATTTTTATTGATTTTTTTAGAGAGGAGGGAAGAGAGAGAAAAAAAACATTGATATGAGAGAGAAACATCAATCAGTTGCCTCCTATAAGCATCCCGACCGGGGACTGAACCCGCAACCTAGGTATGTGCCCTGACTTGGAATCGAACTGGAGACCTTTTGGTGTGTGGGACCGCACTTAACCAAACTGAGCCATACCTGCCAGGGCTAAATAGGTCACTTTAAAAAAAATGTTTTTTTTTTTGATTTTGGAGGGCAGGGAGAGAGAGAAAGAGAAATGGCTATGTGAGAGAAAAACATCACTCATTTGCCTCCTCTACACACCCCAACTGGGGATCGAACCTGCAGCCTGGGTATGTGCCCTGACTGGGACTCGAACTGGCGACCTTTCTGTGCACTGGACATGGCTCAACCAACTGAGCCACACCAGCCACAGCAAAACAGGTCACTTTTAATGAGACAGTAACACAAACCTGATCTCCCCTAGAATGACCAGGATAAAATTTTCTTACTCAGCTCTTTGCCTTTTCTCCTGCAGACGCAGCAGGATGCCAATGCCTCTTCCCTCTTGGACATATATAGCTTTTGGCTCACGTAAGTCTTCCCTATACCACTGTGGCTATTTTCTCCCCTCAAGTGGGCTGGGCTGTGTTTCTTGGTTTGGGAAGGTCCTGATCAAGAAGTTAGCCTGATCTACTTTAGCAGGTCCACTAAAGCTCCAAAGCGGAAGTTACAAGCAAATGGGCCAGTGACTAAGAAGGCTAAGAGGAAGACTTCATCCAGTGAGAGCAGTGAAGACAGCAGTGAGGAGGAAAAAGCCCAAGGGCCTCCAGCTAAGAAAGCTGGTAAAGCCTGGCAGGGAGTTGGGGTTAGCAGTTCTGGGAAAAGGAGTTTTAATCTGCCTATACTGCATAGCTGACTCTTAGTGGGACCTGTGCTGTTGTTCAGCTGTACCTGCCAAGCGTGCCAGTCTGCCTCAGCATCCCGGAAAGGCTGTAGCCAGAGCGTCAGAGAGCAGCAGCAGTGAAGAATCCAGTGAGGAGGAGGAGGAAGAGGACAAACAGAAGAGGCCTGTCAAGGTTCGCAGTTGGGAAGGAAAAGGGTTCCTTACGGGATTGGAAAGAAGAAACCTGAAGTCTTGGCTTCTAGCTTGTGACCAAAACCTGGTGGTGGGCAGGTGATTATGGGGTAGGAAATCTGGGGACTTTTAGAGATGTGATAGAAGTATGAGGTTTGAAATAGAAGTATGAGGTTTGAAAAGGATGTGTGAGGTTGAAATTAGACTCTGAATCTAGAAGAGATCAAGCCATTCTGCTTCCCTAGACGTATTGGGTTTCTCTGGGACACTGTCTAGGACTCCAGGAGTAAGAGTGTGTTTTGTAGACGGGTGTTGGAAGCTCTAGACAGGAATGGTAGGGACGGGGCCAGTAGATCATGTGGCTGAAACTTTTTGTTTCTTAGGAATTTCTTGTCCTTTTCATGTGCTGTCCTGCTTAGTTTTCCCTCACCCCTACTGCTCTCTTAGCCCCCCCAAAATAAAAGGAGCCTAGGAAGCTCTTTACTTTAGGATGCCCCTAGGTACCCAGAAGCTCTTGCTGAATCTTTTCATTGTGTATTTTCTCACAGAAGGGAGTTAAGCCCCAAGCCAAGGCAGTCAAAACTCCTCCTAAGAAGGCTGAGAGCTCTGATTCCGATTCTGACTCAAGCTCAGAGGATGAGGCACCAAAGAACCAGAAAACAAAGACACCACCTGTGGCAACTAAAGTTCAGGCTAAAGCCCCAGCCAAACCAGGTACTGTTTCTGTTTTTGTTTCCAAAAGGCCAAGCCAGGGACCAGCTTGCTCTGGGGATGGGTGTTTAAGTTGCTCATTCAGCACAGGGGTGAAATGGTACTGATTGTTGAACTAGAGGTATTGATTAGTGTTATATATTTTTTTATTTATTTGTAATTTTATTTGTTTTAGAGAGAGGAAGGGGGAGAGAGAGAAACATTGATTTGTTTTTCCACTTATTTATGCGTTCATTGGTTGTTTCCTGTGTGTGCCCTCACCAGGGTTCGAACCTACAACCTTCGTGTTTAGGGACTACACTAACCAGCTGAGCTACCTGACCAGGACCTAGTGTTATGTTTTTAGAAGAAGCTATTAGAGTAAAAGATTACATAATTGAGGGCTAGTGACTAGAGAAACAGTTTGCAGCAAGGGAAAATGTTTAAAAAACAGTATCAGTTTGTCGTTCTTTAGTTGCATTTCGTAGACATTGTTTGTTCCCACGAATCCCATTTTGCTATGACCACTTACACCTCTGTTCTTTGTGCTTTTCAATACCATTTTTCTTCCTATGCCTTTATTCCGTAGGACAAGTGAGAAGTTTTATTTTTTTCTGTAATTTTCCTGTGGTGAAGGTTAGGTTATGATTTTTTTTTTTTTAATCCTCACAGGAGGATATTTTTTCCATTGACTTTCAAAGAAAGTAGAAGGGAGGGAAGGGTGGCAGGGAGAGAGAGAGAAACCTCGATGTGAGAGAGACACATCTATTGGTTGCCTCCCATATATACCCCTACCAGGGCCTTGGATCGAACCTGCAACCCAGGTATGTTACCTTGACTTGGAATCCAACCTGTGACCCTTTGGTGTGTGGGCTGATGCTCTAACCACTGAGCACCACCAGCCAGGGTGAGATTAGGTTATGATTTATAGTAGCTTCTCTAGAAGATGGAGTGAAAGACTTCAGGGCCATATTTAAATTATTTTCATCATATCACTTTTAAAGATATAATAGTTTTACTCCTGACATTGGGCAGGAAAGACATCCTTTGATAGAGTAAACCACAGTAATATCCTTCATGCCTGCTCTAAAGGCAGGAGAATTGATAAGACTCCTAAGTTCTGAGCTAATAGGAAGGTTTTTGTAGTCCTTTAATTTCTTGTTACTTCTTACACTATTTCTTTTTTCTTAGGCACACCTGCTCGAGCAGCACCTAAAGTAGCGAATGGTAAAGTAGCTAGCAGTAGTAGCAGCAGCAGCAGTAGTAGCAGCAGCGATGACTCGGAGGAGGAGAAGGCAGCAGGCGTCTCCAAGAAGGTCTGGGCCATAAATTCCACAAGGGAAGAGAGGGTCTGGGGGTGAAGGGGCAGTCTCCATTTCTTGGTAGGATTGGTTGGGTCAACATTTTCCTGTGGTAACTGATTTTCTTGTATGATGCAGACTGTACCTAAAAAGCAAGTGGTGGCCACAGCCCCAGTGAAAGCAGCTGCCACCCCTGCCCAAAAGAGTTCCAGCAGTGAGGACTCCTCCAGTGAGGAGGAGGAAGAGGAGGAGCAGAAAAAGCCTGTGAAGAAAAAACCAGGTGCCTGGACATGGGGAGTCAAGCTACATGACTATTACCAGGGCCTTTGTGCAGGAGGACCTCTGTAGTCACCACGTAGACCTCTCCGTACAACTGCTTGACATGCTGGCTAGTTTCTTCCAGAGAAAGGAAAAAGACTCAGTGTCTTTTATAACCAAGACTCAAAAAAGACATGTCAGCATCCCTGCCATATTCTGTTGATGGAAAATGAGTCACTAATTCTAACCCACACAGGGGAAGGGGTTAACCTCCATTTCTAAAAGGGAGAGGTATCAAAGAATTTATGTACATATTTTAAAACCACCACACTCTCCCTTTTTAAATAGGTCCCTATAGTTCAGTACCCCCGCCTTCTGCTCCCCAACCCAAGAAGTCCCCAGGAACCCAGGCTCCCAAGAAAGCTGCAGAGAAGAAACAGCCTGAGGACAGCAGTGACGACAGCAGTGATGAGTCTGGTGAGTCATCACCAGTGGTGAGTAGGTCTGGGGAATGTTTGAGGAATAGGAAGATGGAAATGTTCTGTCCCTCTTCACTGAAGCAAGACAGGGCTAAAACTCTGTGGTCTATTCATCCTTTATATACATATATATTTTTAAAAAATTTTGTTGGTGCCCTGACTGGGAATCGAACCTGCCACCTTTTGGTATATGGGATGATGCTCCAACTACACCAGCCAGTTATACATCCTTTTTTATTGCTCCTGTTTGGGTCGGGACTCTGGGCATAGCCTAATGCCATAGATTCTCTCCAGATTCAAGCTCTGAAGAAGAAAAGAAACTACCAGCTAAGCCAGTCATCTCTAAAGCAGCCACTAAACCAGCTCCAGCAAAGAAGGCAGCAGAGAGCTCGTCAGACAGCTCAGGTAAGGCATATGGAGACCTTCTGGACAGGGGGAGCTCCAGGGGCTCTCCTCAGTCCAATTTGGGGAGCTATTCATTTTATTCTCTTCATGTCTAGACTCAGACAGTTCTGAGGATGAAGCTCCTGCCAAGCCAGCCATTACCACCAAGAATCCCTCAAGTAGGCTGGCTGCCACTCCCAAGCAGCCTGCAGCTAAACCAGCCACAACTCTCAAGCAGCCTGCAGGCAGTGGCCAGAAGCCTCTGACCAGAAAGGCTGATAGCAGCTCCAGCGAGGAAGAGAGCAGTTCTAGTGAGGAGGAGGTGGAAAAGACGAAGAAGACTGTGGCTACCCCTAAGCCCAAGGTGATGGCCAAAGCAGCTCTGTCTGTGCCTGCCAAACAGGCCTCTCAGGGTGGTGAGGATAGCAGCTCTGATTCAGACAGCTCCAGCAGTGAGGAAGAGGAGGAAGAGAAGACATCTAAACCCCCAGTTAAAAAGAAGCCACAGAAGACAGCAGCTGTAGCCCCTTCCAAGCCAGCCTCCACAAAGGCAGTAAAGGCCGAGAGCAGCAGCAGTTCTTCTGATGACTCCAGTGAAGAGGAGGAGGAGGAGGAGGGGAAACCCAAGGGCAAGGGTACTCCTAGGCCACAAGCCCCCAAAACTAATGGCACCTCTACACCGACTGCCCAGAATGGAAAAGCAGATAGGGACAGCAGTGAGGAGGAAGACAAGACCAAGGCAGCAGTGGCAGTTTCTAAGCCAGGTCTGTATCCAAAGAAGCTGCCCCCTGGGATTCCCCACCCCATATTAGTTGGTTTGTTCTTAATTGATTTTTTTTCTTTTTTGATTCATAGAGAAGAAAGGAGAGAGAGAGAGATAAACATCAATGATGAGAGTCATTGATCGGCTGTCTGCTGCACACCCCCGACTGGGGATTGAGCCCAAACCGGGGCATGTGCCCTGACTGGGAATCGAACCATGATCTCCTGGGTCCTAGATTGATGCTCAACTGCTGAGCCACACTGGCCAGGCTCCCCATCCCAAATTAGGATGGGATATATACTCTTGGGGTTGGAGTAGGGAGAGGAGGCAAAACGATTAGGTTCCAGTTGCAGGCCCATGGTGTGACAACTTTGAGCAGAGGAACAGGAAACTGGTCTGAGTCTGGCTTTTTTTGTAGGTTTAGGAAAGAAGCGAAAGCAGAATGAGGCTACTGTGGAGGCAGAGACTCCTCAAACCAAGAAAATAAAGCCTCAGACCCCCAATACATTTCCAAAAAGGAAGAAAGTAAGTTGTCTTATTTTCCTCAGGAAAACATCCTTTATTATTATCATTATTATTATTATTTATTATTTTTTTTAACAAGGAAACCAAATTTTAATTCACATACACATGAAAATTTCAAAGATTGTGAGGCAACATTGGGTATAAAGACATTTGGACAAAGGAGAAATGAGGGAATGGGGTATTAGATTTTAGAAGTGATAATGGGGAGCTAGCCTTTAGCGAGCACAAAGAACAACCTGGAATCATCTTGACAGCTCTTCCTGCTCTCACGTGCACATGTGTGTTGCTTGGGAAGACTTTTCTGTTAACTGCCCACTCCATCTTTAATTTCGTACTTCATCCTTCAGGCAGAAAAAAGGGCATCATCCCCATTCCGAAGGATCCGGGAGGAGGAAATTGAGGTAGATGCTCGAGTGGCAGACAACTCCTTTGATGCCAAGGTGAGAGAGGGAGCTCTCCATTCTTGAGTGGGGTTGGGTGGAAGAGAGAACAGCTTTGATTCAGATTTGTGGGAAGCTGGGTTCAGGTTGTGTTGAGCAGAAAAAAGAACATGACAGGCAGGGCTCTGGGGTCCTATGTGTTAACCACCTCTCTGTACTCACCAGCGAGGTGCAGCTGGAGACTGGGGGGAACGAGCCAATCAGGTCCTGAAGTTCACCAAAGGCAAATCCTTCCGGCATGAGAAGACCAAGAAGAAGCGGGGCAGTTACAGGGGAGGCTCCATCTCTGTCCAGGTTAATTCGATTAAGTTTGACAGTGAGTGACCTGTGGCCATCCTAGCAAAGCAGGGGTGATGATCCGAGACTACTTACTTTCCCCAGTGGACCCGGGAGCTCTCAGCTCTATTAGGGAAGGTATTGGTAAGGACAGTGGTATAGAATAGATCTGAAGACTTTGTATCGGAACATCCTCTCTGGTCCTTTTCTGTGTTTGTAGTTTTGTACAAATTTGTTTGTGAGTGTTGAGTAGCAAGGACAAGGTAAGGGGAGTGTTCTTTTTAAAGAAAAATTAGTTTTAGTTGTTATCCCCTTCTCCCTGTTCTGTGGAAATCCTCATACTGAGAAATTTGTATATTTTCTATTAAATCATTTCCTATTGATTTTTGTTGTGATTTTCGGAGGTGTGTTCCTGCAGATTAAAGCTATTGCCCATGACATAGTAAAGGTCACATGTATGGATTTTTATAATTGGAGAGTTCTGCCTACGTGAGTGCACATATCCACATTTCATCCCTCCTACCCTCAGCCCTGGAGCGGGGCAGCGAGAATGGCTAATGTATATGTCTGTTAAGCATGTACTGTGTAGTTCTTCCTCATTCATGGTGTCTAGGACTGAACATAGTTCAGCCAGCATGGACATAGCTACTTTGGGGGATAAAATTCACTGTTTTGTTACAGGTAAAATTACTGTGTGTGAATGTTGGGGAGTCAGTCTGAATATTTTTGTTTTCTGTAATTTTATCATTATTACGTAATGATATTTGCAATACGTTTTTTAGTTTGAAAGCATAAACTTTTCTATTCAAAGACTTATTTTGATGACTTGACCCTTAACAGTGTTGAGTACTAAATTGAGAACTACATCATCTGAATTTTTTACATTTTAGAGAACAAAATAACATTAATTTAATCTTGAAAGTACGTATCACTTGGTATGTCTGTCTTGGTAGCAGTGGTGACACAAAATTAGTTTCATTAACTCCTACATGGTTAGGAATCACTGATCAAGAAAGTGGAGGGGAAAAACTATAATAACCTCAGTCCTCAGTAGGAATTAGGTAATGTTAGGTGATTTTATAGGTCACCTATGTGTGTGCTAGTGGAGTTGGGAAGAACCTTTACAAAGCATATTATCTGGTAAAACTTGAATAGAATGGGTTTGGGAGAGCATCCCAACAGGATAATTGTGTTTTGTAGTTGGTACACAGGAGCAATTGATGTGCCCCCTTCAAAACCTTAACTGTCAGTAATGGTGGAGGTAACAATAAAAACCAGTGAGCAGAGCTGTGACTCCTAGGTTAAGCTCGCTGACCATAAAGCTGTAGGACATGTTGGCAGTGCTCAGCCAGAGCACAATAGGGAAGAGTCAACAAACTCTCTGGAGGCTGGGCTGTTCCTGAGGTGGGAAAGTGTGCTCCAGTTTCATGGACAAGGTGTAGGTCTTAAAATTAACCTTCCCTTTTTTGGATTCCATACTTGCCAAATAACCTGATGATAACTTGGTTTTCCATGTAACTGCCTCTAGGAAGAAAATGCGTTGTTCACGCTGACATAGGTGTTTCAGTCTGCATGGTAAAAGTTATACATCTTACTTACTGCAAAATAATAAACTGGTTGGTTTCTAATGTGTCTTGCGAGTTTTATTGTGAATCCAAAACCCTCCCACCTGTTCAAACCAGAACAACTTGGGTGCCAGTTAGAGGGCTGGGGTCCAGACCTGTAAATTCACTGCAGAGCCGCCTTAGGCTTGGCCATACCTTGTCTCCTGGTGCCTTTTCCAGGCAGTAGTCCAGCCAGTGTGTGTAGTTTAAATTGGGGTTGGCAAAATGGCCTATGGGCCAGTTCCAGTCCATGGCTTGTTTTTGTAGTTTTTTTTATGTCTTTACTGTTTTCAGAGAGAGGAAGGGAGAGGGAGAGAGAGAGAGAAACAATGAGAGAGTCATTGATCGCTGCCTCTTGCACACCCCCTACTGGGGATCAAGTCCGCAACCTGGGCATGTGCCCTGACCAGAATCAAACCAGGATCTCCTGGATCATAGGTCAGTGGCTCAACTGCTGAGCCACGCTGGCCCAGCCCATGGCTTGTTTTTTGTATTATTTAGGAGCTAAGAATGGTTTTTACATTTTTAAAGGGCTTAAGAAAAAGAATATGGCAGAAAAAGTTTGCTAAGCCTTCGTATAAATCAGTGATTTCATAACACTGGCTAAAAATTAGAATCGTCTGAGGCACTTCTAAAAACACTGACATCCAGCGCCCCATCCTCAGACAGGTTGAGTTAGACACTGGTGTTTTCTGGTGAGGCCTGCATGTTAGCTCCCAGGTGATTCTAACAAGCAACCAGTGTTGAAATCCACTGATCTAAAAGTATCTGGAAAAAGTGAATTGATATTTTTTTCTTTCATGGTTCCATTTTCTAATGTTCTTTTTAAATCCGTATAAAGTGAAAATTAAATTTCTGTCTCTTCTTAGCTCCGTTTCCTTGGACATGATTCCTGTGTCTCCTAAAGAGAGTTTCTTTGTACTTTGTACATCCTCTCATCTTCTTACTTTTCCTTACACAAATGGGGTAGCTTGCTATATGCGGTGTTTCATAACTTTGGAGATAATTTCATAACAGAACACAACAGCTCATTTTTAATGACTGCATGGTACCCCATTGGAAGTAGCATAAATTATTTAAATTAATATCTTATTCGTACTGTTTGTTATTTTAGTATTTTGCCCATATCGTAGATTGCAAATATTTGTTTTTTTAGGTGCTTTTCATCTTAAAATGTAATGTAATATACATGCATTAACTTTCCTCCTTAGATGAATAATTTATAAGTTTACTGCTTATTGTTTAAAGCTATGGCTTACTGTTTTTTCTTTTGCATTTTATAAGCACAATTTTTCCCAGTCTTGTTTGCTTTTTTTTTAACTTAACAGACCTCCTTTTTCATTAGGCCTTGCAAATCTGAACCTGCTACATATATGCAGCTAATGTCTTATATAAATGAGGCAGTTTAGCAAATTGTCTAACAGCATTTATTTGGAAATTATTTAATGTCTCTGAGTCTACTTTGTCATATTTAAAATGAGAGAGTATTTTCTCATCTCGTCTGTAAAATCTGACTGCTCCAGAGGGTTGTTGGAAGGACAGAATTTATCCAAAGCATTTAGCTCGGTCCCTGGTACATTGTAAGCACTCTGTGACTGCCACATTGCCCAGTAAAAGAGGATTTGGGGAATTACTTTCCTTGGTGCCCTTGTGATGTGCAACATGCCATTTCAACAAAGGCTCAAATTGGAGCAGAGTCAATAACCATGGTTTTTTTGTTTGTCGTGTGTTTAGCATCTTCATGATGCCAAGGATTGACACGCAGAATTAATCCTATTTCTTAGAAACTTTAGTTTTGTGAGGGATCTGGAATTCCCACCTATTACTGATGGGTTCTGGCACTATTGCTGAAATCCACAAATTCAGCAAATCACACAAGGCAGGATACTGTCCTACACCCTTTGTAGGTTTGTGCTATGCAGGTTATATCCTCACTGCAACCCAACCCTGTTAGGTGCATATTAACTAATCAGGGTCTCTCACCCTTGGCATCATTGCCATTTTGGACCAGATCATTCTTTGTTGTGGAGGACTGTCCTGTGTGTTGTAGCATGTGTAGCAGCATCCGTGGCCTCTATCTACTAGATACCAGTATCATCCCCCAGTTTGGACAACCCAAAGTGCTGCAGATATTGCCAGCTATCCCCTGGAGGCAAATTGCCCCTAGTTGAGAACTGGGGAAATAGCTGAGTATTGAATGGCTTGCTTAGGGTTGATAAAGTTGCAACTTAGTGGCACCTTGAGACTTGACCTGTATTCAACATTTTTGCCTACTATGTACCAGCAATAGAACTCAGAGCTCAGTGTCTAATGGAAGTTGGGCATGGGAACAGTTCCATACAGTGTGCTGAGTCCTGTCACGAAGGGCCAGAGTAGCACCCCAAAGGGGACAAGGAAGAAAAGAGGTGGCTAACCTTGGCTCGGGACTCTGAGGAGAGTACAGCTTAACATACTATGTAAGGAAGAGGACATTTTTCCAGTGCGAGAAGGCCTTTTAAGATGGATCAAGAGGGAGTGTGTAAGATAGGGGCAAGATAATGCTAAGTCTGACTGAAAGTTCAATGCCAATGGCCAGGTCAGGGGTTAGTACTTTATTTTGTCCCCCTGGGAATTTTAGGGGATCGATAGTCCAGTGCAATGTTTCTGGTGCTAATATAGCCGGGAAAGCAAAGTTCCTAGTAACTACTGAGTTCCCTTACCCTGGGCTCCCTGCAGAGCCTGCTTAAGCTGTCTGCAGTTTCTGAAGAGGCCAGTAGGTGGGGCTTTTGCCCACTACAAGAAGCTGAACTGGGCTTTAGTTGAAGCCTGATGTCATTAATTCCAGTTATATTCAGCAAACTTAGAGAACCTGCCATGAGCTTTTGGATACAAGCCATAAGATGAATAAGACATAGGCCCTCATTTGAGGACCTTTGTTCTGGAGTGTGGAGAGAGGAGGCCCTTCCTTCTGGTCTCTGGTCCTGGTTATCTGTGAGAGGCCACCTGTTACCTGACAGCCCATGGCAGGCAGCATGGCTTATAGAGGATGTTCACCATGGAACCTCCAACTTTCCCCTCAGGTTCTACAGGGCCCTAGAGTTTCCATAAGGGGGACCAGCCATAGGTCCCCACTGCTTATGTAAACTGTAGACCTGTGTCCTTTCTAGGCCTGGATGGTCAGAGGCCTTGGCACTTTTCCCCTGTCTTCCCCCCAACCCCCCAACATAATCCCCTTATAGAGCTCAGGACTGAGAACAAACACCAGGCTCCCACCTTGGAAATGGGCTGGAGGGTGGGAGGAGTACAGTATTTCAATAAATTAGACTGCCAGACACAAATTCATACATTCAGCAAATATGAGTGCTTACTATGTGCCAGGCACATAATATGTGATTTTGTGTGAGAGATGTTGAAGACACAATCATGAATGAATAAAAACCAGACAGTCCCAGGTACTAAAGTTTACCTAGTCTAATGAGGGGCGAAGATATTAATCCTCACAAATAAATGCCTAAATGTAAACTTCAGTGCAATGGAAGGCAAGGTGCAAAGAGCTATGAGTACATGTAACAGGGCACTGACCCATATGATGGTAGGACTTCCTCATAAATAGGGTGCCCATGTAACTTATCATCTGAACTGGGATGCTTTTGCCTGGCTGGCTTGGCTCAGAGATTGAGCGTCAACCCATGAGCCAGGAGGTCACAGTTCGATTCCCGGTGAGGGTACATGCCTGGGATGTGAGCTCCATCCCCAGAAGGGGACATGCAGGAGGCAGCCGATCAATGACTCTCATCATTGATGTTTCCATCTCCCTCTCCCTTTTTCTGAAATCAATAAAAATATATATATAAGTAAACTGGG